TTTTAAAAAGCTGTTATTTTGACATTACAAACAAACACTTCAATTTTATTTATCTGTATAGATGGGCTATAACATATTGGTAGCAATTTTGCTTACTAAATTGGAGTTTAAGTTCTATAGTTAATTAGTGTAAATCTTTAGGTTTTTCTTTAACTGATTTTTTGCGGAGTTACTTATTTAGATTTTTTATTTTAAAGTTAAAACCTTAGTCTCTCCCGTAACCACGATTGCTGTAAAGCATTCGAAACGTCGGGAACCAAAAATCAAAATAAATCCGCGAAAAAAAATCTAAAAAGAACTTTTATTTAAGCTGTCATTAGCTTCACTTGTTAGTAATTAACAAATCATGAAGTATATATAATCTTAAAAGTCGATTTTAAGTTACTTCTAATTGAATAATTTGGTATTATCAACCTGGTCTAATGAAGGAACCAGAGGGTGTTTAATTTACAATAACTTACCTTTTACCTTCCTACTTTCTTACCTACGTGCTTACTAATTACGTGTTCGGGCTTATTTAATTGGTCCTGACAAGGCATTACGAGGCGTCCTTTACTGCTTTATAAAATATATTTTTTTAATTTTGTACATACATAGATAATTTAAAAACATAGGCTATTTTATAACTCAATAGTTTCCCGTGGGAAATAAGTCTGAGCAAAGCGATGCCGTATTACTAGTATATGCATAAATATTTGTCTCGGTCCGGCTTGAAGATGAAATGCAACATCAATTTCTGCTCAACACACAGCGCCAAACAAACAGAACGAAAGTCTAAAGCGGCTAATAAAGTCGCCTCAGATGTACCTACTTGTACTGCCGTTCAGAGATGTTTTATGAGATCTGTTTTATTTATTACTATCGACTCACTCTCGCTCCGCTTGGCTTCGTCCCTACTTACGTTTTAACGTTTAATATAGATTTCTCAGAGATGACATATTTTCCTGAAGTGAAAAGTATCCTATATGTTAACCCGCATAACTAGCTATCAATAAACCAAATTTCAGCAAAATCCCTCCAGTGGTTTTTCCGTGATACGGTTACAGACAGACAGACGAAAATTCTAAAAACTATGGATTCGGCCTCTGTATCGATAATAATGACTATTTCAATAAGATTTTCCAAAAAATATTTAATGTACAGATTCGGAATAGTTACAAATTTATTATATGTATAGATTTATTCTAAGGCTTTTTAGGGTTCTGTACCCGAATGGTGCCAACGGAACCCTATTACTAAGCCTACGCTGACCATCTGTCCGTCTGTCAGAAGATTGTATCTCATGAACCGTAATAACTAATAGGTCAAGAGTTTTAATTTTCCCAGAGTATGTATTTGTATTACCACTATAACAACAAATATTAAAAATAAATAAAAATAAATAAATAAAAATATTCACAAGAAACATTTTTTTAACGTTCGTAATCGGTCACTGAAGTTAATATACAACATACATGGAGTAAAAGTTATATTAATAAAAAGTACATGTCTGATGGTACGGAACCCTCCGTGTTCGCACAAACGATTTCTTCTTTATGTTTCATTGAATCGAATGAGAAGTGAATAAATCATAGAAATCTGTCTTCATCAATTAACAAATTCCTCGTATACATAAAGTAGGTATCTATAATGGGAAAGAGAAAAGCTTCCTAACTTTGAATTTAATTAAAAATGTATACTAATTTACACGATGACGCAGAAACGTGCGTACAACATATGAATTATGCCGATATTTACTATCAATAGAACAGCTTTCTTTAAACCGTTCAATACCGTCCCATATTTTTTTCAAATAATCCTTAATCCTTTTATAAACACCTCATTATTTTGAATAATGAAACCAAGCATTGTTAACACCCTTTTCAAACAAGGACAGAATAAGCCCGTGACCTCTTGCTATGGCTTCCTGTTCTTTACAATATTTCTATTCTCTATTCACTCGAGTCTTTATTCAAATATCTGTATAACAATTCTTTACCACTTTTTTATCACATTCTTCATGTCATACATTAAGAATTCAACTTTGGTATTGATATGTTGTTCGGTTGACAATACGTGGAGAATAGCAGCGTGGTATTCAAAAGAATAATAGTTTATATTCCCCATCGCATTTCTAATGACTCGCTTCATATTTTATTACTTATGTTTCTCTTATATTAATATATTATAGTATATACCAAAATGTAAACATTAGCAACTTTTAAAGCAAATACAAGAAATGTTCCTGTAAAAAAATAACGTATGAAAAGATTTTTTGCAATAATTAATTAAGGATTATCTGAAAGCTTCGCCGAAGAAAGAAACGACCAGCGGAGCACAAAGCGCGTATTGAATTTGAATAAAAAACATGTAATATCTTATTAGGATAGTTTTTTATTTTTACTTAAAACCGAAGTTTCGTTTAAAATTAAATGGTATAGTGTAATTTTTCTTACATAACTCAAATACAAAAACCATTTTTAATTAAAAATCATAATTTTAAATAACTAAAATGTGTAAGCTGTGTTAATCTAATAGACGACACGTTTGGCTCAGTTTGTAGTGGTCCTACTTGCTGTGCCAACGGTCGCAGGTTCGAGTCGCGCTGGGGGCATTCATTTGTGTGATGAACACGAATGTTTGTATTCCAGTCATAGGTGTATATATTTATAATATGTTTGTATTTAAAGTTATATATGTGTAGTGTATCAACTATCTGGTATCCATAACACAAGGCTCGTAGCTCACCATGGAACTAGATAGTGCTGTGTGGGACATTGGTCCCAACATATCTATATATCAGAGATTAATCTCTGATAACTGGAAATGATAAATAATAAATGAGAAAAACTTACAAGACAAATGTAACGTTAATGCATAACAAAGGTACAGGAAATGAAATTAAAATAAACTATTTTTAATTATGTAGTCGTAATGTAGTTACTTTTGAGCAATGAAGACTCGTGAATCTGTATTAGGAACTTATATAAACAGAATTTAACGTAAAATTAAGAAGAATAGGTACATGACGATGATGTTATTATTGATCGACTTTAAAGAGGTGATACTCAATTCAGCTGTCTATATCTTTACCCATAGGGAATATGCGTGTGATTTAAATACAGGTGAAATATTTTTTTTTATAATCTTAATTGCTTTTAAATTAAGCTTATATTTATATTTTTAATGTAATTTCTTTTTGATTTAGAAAATAATTATTAAAGAGTGCAAATATAGGTGGGAAAATCATAGTAGTTGAAACGAACGCCATTGGTCAGTCTGAATATTATGACGTCAAAGTAAATCATAACAGAGCGATTAGCGATTTTGTCGTTACAAATTGGAATTGCGTCATCATCTTTCTGTGTATAATATACTGTGACGTTAGGCCAAGGGCGCGAAATGGCGAGAGTTTAAAGTATCCTTATCGATATGATATATGTATATATTTTTTACACTAAATTTTAGTTTTTTGGAGTTGGATGTTTTTTTACAATTATATAACGAACGAACTTTGTATAAAAATACGCAAATTCCCTATTGTAATAGTAACCTAAAAAGTCCCAAATTTTAAAAAAGAAGATCCATCTATAAAGGTTGACTAAATTATAATTATTTAATTTATTCCATGTAAGTTATATAGTACATGTCTTTCAAACTTAATTTCAATATTTTGATTTACTTTCGATTGATTTTAGACCTTTCGCAAATATATTTGTAAAACCACTATAACATCAAACAGAAATAACTAGCAATCTTTCTTTTCAAACGAGTAACAATTCAAACGAATTCTTCCGCATTAAAGGAATACGTTTCTTTGCTAACTTTACTACGCTTTGAAGGCTGACACGCAATCGATTAGATGGGTCACCGCACAAAAATCGTTGGGATACTTCATGAAAATGCGGTCCATTTGATTTTGGCGATAGGATTAATATAAAATGGAATAACCCTACAAATCCAGTGCACTCTAAATAATTATGCCGTATAATACAGAATGGCACTAGTGTCAGTATTGCGGTCATTTTAATCTTGTGCTAATATCACAGATTTGAATAGAAAATCCACAATGCGGGATTCTGGGTAACAGATAACATACCATTAACACTATTTTAACTATATTTGCGTTTCAAGGCCAGATGTTAGTCTAAATGTAAGTTTTTTTTTATTAAAACACCGTCTAGATACAGTTTAAAAAATGACAATATTGACTGCTGTCAAAGATGGTATAGTATTTAATTCGTGTGTTCTGTTCTATAAGTGCATCGCAAATTAAATAAATAATAATATTAATTATTCCTGGTTACTTAGTGCCTTCTAATTCAAATTCAATTCAGTAATAAGTATGATGAGTACTTATGGGTTGTATTATATGGTGTTTTCCCGTGGGCCGTGGGAAAAGAGAGTGGGTGAGATTATCTCCCGCGGTAAAAAATAGCCTATGTCACTCTCCAGCCCTTCAACTATCTCCACACATGCCAATCTGTCATTCTGTTTAACGTAAAAGAAGGACAAACAAACACTTTCACATTTATAATATTAGTATGTATTACATATAGGTAGCGTCACTTTTTGACAAATGTTAGTAGCCCATTTCATAATAGCCCATGTGTTACTTCAGGTAATCATCTATCTGTGTATTAAATTTTATCCAAATTCAGCCAGCCGTTTCAGAGTGAAGACGTACAGTACACACACAACAAAATATCGCATTTATAACTAGTATTATAAAAGTATAAACTACATAAATAAAGAAATTTTACCTTTTTATTATAATACTACATTTTCACCCCCTTAAGGGATGATTTCCGGAATAAAAAGTATCCTATGTCCTTCCCAGGGTCTCTTCTCATCTCTCTTCTCATCTTTTTACCAAATCTCATCTAAATCGATTCAGTAGATCCAGAGATTAGTCCCTACAACGTCACAAACTCACAAATTCACAAACTTTACCTCTTTATAATATTAGTATAGATTTTAAAAAAAATATATCTATTTACGTAATATTTCTCTATTTTCAGCCGGTCGGTATCTACAGAGGGAAGTATGAGTGGGCCAACGAAGACAGTCCTATGGGCGGTGACTGTTCGTTGTGGGTGAGGGCGGCAACGTTACAGCTGGACGATGGTCAGTGGCAGTGTCAAGTAACTGCTAGCAACTATGATGTTCAGGTGAAAATTATGAAGTTTTCATGTTTATTTCTTGTTCTATCAGAATGTAATAATAATGACTTTATACAAATTCTGGCTAGCCTCATATAACACGAGAGTTCTGCATGTTACCGTTATAAGCTTAATTCATATAAAAACCCTATCAAAAAAAATCAATTAAATTTTTACAAATTTCCCACTTTATCGAGTAATTTTTCCAATAGAAAATTTGAAATTATATGTTTTTTTTATGTGAAAATTCCAAAAATATATAAAATAATAACATTTGGTGAGTAAATTCGATCAAAATCTATAAAGATCAGAATAAAAGACAAACACACACATACATTTTGTATAACAGAATTCGTCGTGCTGTGAACTATAAAAGAAAAATTCTAAATAATTCGTTCTAGACTCTTTTCCCGCATCATTACAAGAAAACTTAAGTAACAAGTGATGTAAATTAATGCAAGTCACAAGTAGTTTAAAAAAAAACAACTACAAACTGTCGACAAAGTTAATGTAAAGTTCTTACACGCAAACTTCTTACCAACTGTAGGAAATTCATTAATTTAACTAATTTTAATACTTTACAACGATCCTAACTACAGATATCAACGTTATTGGGCATTAAGAACAATATAATAAAATGTCTAATATTACTTTGACCCAAAATTTATCAACATTTTTATGTACGACTGTTTTCCTTCTTTTTACAAAAGTTTTCTACTTTTTACAAAAGTTGAAAATTTTGGGATTATACATACTACCAGCGCTGAATTTACACTTGGAACACTCAGGGCTAGTGCCCAAGGCGTCAAATTTTTAGAGGCGGCAAAATTCAGAGGGTGGAAAAAAAATTATTCGCGATATCGGAAATGATTTTATTTAAAAAAAATCATTTTTCGAAAAGTTGATATCATTTATAAGTTATTTCTTTGCATTATTTCAAAAAATTTAATAAATAATAAAAATAAACTTTCAAAATTTTATTCAAAATTTCGATAATAGGGCGGCGGCATTTATTACTATGCCCAGGGGCGGCGCTACGCTAGGGTTAAATCCGGCACTGCATTCTACAACACATTTTGCTGTGGCTCCGTCTAGATTTTAGTGGTGAAAGTATGAATTTTAATTGCGATCAGTTTATCTGAAATAGTGACAAGTCACATCAAAATGGATAAAATAAAAACCTTCACCTTCACCATGTCGAAAATCTTAATACATAACTTTTTATGTATTGAAATTTCGGTGTTTTTTGCGCAAAAGGACACTTTCATTTATATACGGCTTTACAATATGTATATACAGTTCGTGGTTTCTTATGAGGTTATGGAAGCCTTATATATATAAGTGTTTAGAAAAAATATTATAGCACAAAAAGTATTTTTTGTACAATAAATTTAATTAAACATGTATAAATTTATTTTTTATACTTTTTTTTTTTTTTTTAATCTTTATTTTTATAGAGGGTTTTTTCACAAAGCGAAAATGTCACCCTCATCATTGCTTACAAATACATATAATATAAATAACAAATTCACTTACTTCTAAGTTTAATCACTAATTTAACTAATTTATAAAGCATCTTAGCTTTATTAGACAAAGGATTAGCTAAAATACTATTACAGTATCCAACATTGTTTCCACGTTGAGGTAATATCAATGATCTTTGTGCTTTAACTCGGTCACATTCTTCTAATACATGATAGACATCTTCTACTGTACCACACAGGGCACAATTGGGAGAACTTACTTTGCCCATCATGTAACCAAAACTATTTAAAGGGATGTGACCAGACCGAATGCGAAATGCAATGATAACCTCTTGTCTACTTATCTTTTCTAATTCAAACCATAGTGAACCCATAAGTTTAGGCTGAATAGTTTTGTACCAGATTCCTTTAGTAAGGGAACGCTCATCAAAATATTCTGACCACAAATTTAGACAGTTTTTCCGTAAATCCCCTATATAGTCAGTAAACCAAGGTACATATTCGTAATGACTTCCCTCAGAAATTGCTTCCTTGGCCAGACGGTCAACTTTTTCATTGCCAGCTAGCCCAATATGCGATGGAATCCATTGTAAGATTACATTTTTATTTGAAGTGTTGAGTTCATTTAAATTATTTAAAATCGTAAAGGCAATAGGATGTCCTCTAAAATTCATTGTACACTTTAAAAGGTAAAAAAGAGCACTTTTAGAGTCAGTGTAAACCACAAAATTTTGATAATCAATAGTTTGGATGTACGAAATGGCTTCGGCAATTGCTATAAGTTCAACAAACATTATAGATATTTGAGCACTGATACTAAATTTACAACATGTCCCTGTTTTTAAATCCAAAAAGGCCGCTCCACAACCTGCTTCTTCTTTAGACCCATCAGTATAAATTTCATAATAATTTGGATATGCTACACTTAATGTCTTAATACAAATCATTTTCAATATATCGCGTTCGTAACAATGTTTAGGCTTATTAACAATATCTAAATTAGGTTTCACTGCCTTATCTATATTTAAATTGGAGAGCCATATATCTAAAGAGAATATTTCATTAAGACTACTTTTATAAATTTCATTACACTTTAAAAAATTGTATACTGATACCAAAAGTGGTTGTTTCTTACGTCTCCAAAATAAAACATTTGTAAAGTTGGATAAGGTCTCAAGGATACTTAGCATTGGGCTATTACTAAATGACATAACTTTTAATAAAAATTTACCTGCTAAAAAGCGTCTGCGGATAGACAAGGGGCACAAATTTAATTCTGACTCCATTATATGGATAGGTGTACTTTTAACAAAACTGCCTATTAATCGTAAAAATATATTTTGAATTTTATCTAATTTTGCTAAATTACTTGTACAACTATTGTCAAAGAGGAAGCTTGCATAATCCAGTCTGCTACGTATAAGCGAAAGATATAGATGTCTTAAATGTGTAGGATGTACACCCCAGCCTGGACCAGTCAATAATTTGAAAATTTTTACAAATTTTAATATCTTTTCTTTAATTGCCAATATATGTTTACCCCACAAAAGCTTTCGATCGAGCCATAATCCTAGATACCTAACAGTGTCTGCTACATCTATCCGGCATCCATTCAAGAAAATATTTATTATTTCTCTGAAATTTCCCCTCTTAAATATACAAACCTTGCTTTTCTCTGGAGAAATATCTAAACCTAGCGTTGACAGCATTTTATTGATACAATCTAAGGCGTATTGTATTTTAATTTGACCTTCCTGAGCTGATTTTTTATACTTGCTTCGTACAAGTTAGTAATTGTTAAGAAAAAACACAATATAAATTCTTTTTCAGGATGCTCTCTCGAGTCCTCCAGCCGCTTTAGCAGTTCGAGTACCGCCTCAAACCCCTCGTATTCTATACAATGGATCGCACATTTTACCCGGACAGAATATAACAGTCCCGGCTGGGGGCCGCGCTACTGTTGCATGCGAGGCTCGATATGGAAACCCTCCCGCTTATATCGAATGGTATTTGGGTAAGTGTCATGAATACACAAAACTTTATTAACGTTCAAAGTTAAGCTTCTAATTACCTTTAGAGAAAACCGACACAAAAGAAAAGAATCTGTTAAGTTATAGTTGTTTTATTTTTAAACCGTATAAGCTATAGAGAGTATAAGCTTCATTACTATATAGTTTCTTCAAAATCTTAGTGTAGCAAACATCCATCCATACAAGTGTCTTGCTAAAATTCGCGATTTAAATGATACTGTATCCTACAGTATCATTTAAATCGCGAATATATACTATTTACTAGTTTTCACAATAAAATAATTTTTATTTTACATCATAAAAACGAACAAATAAACGCAATGACGAAATACACAAAGAAATGAGGTAGGCGGGCAGCCATATCGTCAAAAGCGATCTCTTTCAGGCAACCTTGAGGTGGACGAGTGTGAAACAAAACGTTGTAGGCGATATACTCAGTATAATAAACATAAATGGTTAATACCCCGCACAGAAATCAAAAGCGTGACTTACGGCGTAGAAGATATTCCTAATGCTATTTTCCTCACCACGCATCTTGTATTTTTTAAAATAAAATAATACAATAGGATTGCGTACCACGCACTATAGGGAGTAAGGACTTTTTTAATAATTCAATATTTAATACGATCAGAAACTTTATCTTGATTTCTCACAGGTGCTATAAAAAGAAAATATATTAGAATTGGTCAGAAGTTTAGTTGAAGTAAAAAAAATAACCAATTACTTAATAATATTTTAAAATATAGTTAGGTATATAATGTATTACAAAGTATATTGGGCACGTAATCAAAGATTTCAAACAAAAATTATGTAATATATGTATTTACAAACATATAACCATAAGGAAAAACCGAAAGTTCATCAAACAAGGCATTCTCTTTATAGTTATACTTCCTATTACTTATTCAAAAGCTCTTAGTGGCCTTCTGGCTGCCAATTAGTATAATATCTAATAGTTATTGAATCGTCACTAACATCAAAGTGCGTACTTATATTTGATTAATTATGCCTAGTTGTTTGGATAGGGAAAATGTGCTCCCTCTAACAGTACTTACCTTAACGGCAAGAAAAACGAAAATCCGGTTATTTTAATATATACTATACTTTTCTCTTACAGCCAAACTTATAAAATACATATAAACTTATTCAACTATTACAATACTAGCGTTTGCCCGCGGCGCCGACTGCATAACTTAATACCTTCTGAGAGTCATATTATGCATGTTATTAGATAGTCTAAAACCTTTTACAAGAAACGGGTTATAAAATGCCAACAGAATTTTTTAAGCAGATATTTAGTTAACGCGTAAAGTAAACTCTTTAAACTATACATACTCCTATAGTATAGATTCATATTAATTTTAATTTAAATTTCAGAAAAGGAACGTCTAACAGCGTGGAGTCAAACGAACTCATCGGAAGTGGAGCGACCGCGGGTTTGGGCGGCGCGGTCCGTGCTAGAACTTGGTGCTACGAGGGCAGCTCATGGGCGGCAGCTAGCGTGTAGAGCCCACCACCCTTCTTACCCTTCACCGTATTACAGGGATTTTTATACTATGCTAGACGTTACTTGTAAGTATCTCTTTTACTTTTTATTAACTTTATTCCTTTCTTATATTAGATACTTTAGGTCTATATATATAATAAAATTCTTAGTCGAATCTGTAGGTACATTAAATATGTTTTTTGGAAAATCTTATTGAAATAGTCATTATTATCTATATAGAGACCGAATCTATAGCTTTTAGAATTTTTGTCTATTTATATCTGTCCTTATTTCTTTTTAAATAGCAAGAGCATATTTTTATTTAATTTTATCAAAATGAAATTCCTAAGATCTTTATCACGTTTTAACAAACATCGAAGATGTAATTTAAATATTTGGCATTGGTTTAACTTCTCGTCCATAGTAGATATTTACAATGACAATAACGTAGCCAAATATGTCATCAATGTAAATTTTATATCCCTATGCGTTCGAGCTGTGAATTAATTTAGTTAGTTGTAAATATGTGCATTAAAACTTGGAAATATTAAATTTTAATTATATAGTAACTCAATATATATAGAACGTGTTCGCTCAGTGATCAACCATAGTCACTATTAAAAAAATTGAAGTAGACATCTTCGTATATAAATAAATTTTACATATCTATATAATAAAACTGTGTCCAATCTTTTTATTGCCACACTATATAGATAATACTTTTACAATTATTATTACAAATACAATTTTATATCCCGCGTGACCTGTTTTTCTCTCCGAGACATTGATATCTTATATTCCGAGAACTGTAGCCCAGAACCCTGCCCAATAATTAGCGAAGTTTTTCGAAACATTACTACAAATAGAATAATAATAAGCTATCTTCGTCTTAAGAACCAAAGCTAGGTTACCTAGCAGTATAGCTAGGATAAGCTTTCTCTATACTTACGAGTATAATAAAATTGTAACTAAGTCGAATCTGTACATTAAATATTTTTTGGAAAATCTTATTGAAATAGACATTATTATCGATACAGAGGCAGAATCTATAGTTTTTAGAAATTTTGTCTGTCTGTCGGTGTATCTGTCTCTCTCTGTCTCTCTGTGACCCCATCACGAGAAAACCACTGAACAGATTTTGATGAAATTTGGTATGATGATAGCTGGTTATCCGGGTCAACATATAGGATACTTTTTACTGCGGGAAAATATCTCATATCTGATAAATATATACTAATTGTCAATATATAAATACAAAATTTATATTTATATATAATATATTTACAAAAATAAAATTTGTTAATTAAAGTTTTGAATACAACAATTTACAGTTGTTCCGGAAGTTTCGATTGTTGGTGCAGACTCAAGTTCCCTCGCTAGCTTGGAAGAGGGTTCCAGTGCTTTAACACTGGAGTGTCGCGCGGACGGCAACCCGAGCCCGTACGTGTGGTGGACCAAGGATGGGCAGGTCATCGCTACTAACGGAGCCAAGCTGATCAAAGCTCCGATATCGAGGAATGATTCTGGTAATAATCCATGATGATGATGATGTTCTCCTAGCCGATTCCGGCCACGGCGGCCAATCTCAATGAGATTAGCCAACTGCGCAGGAGATATTATAGTGCTCAAGTGTACGCGCAGACACAAGTGCACTCTCTATTCCTATCACTCTCATACTCCGGTGGGACGACCACTCGACACGACCGGTGAGAGTTAAGGCGCAGGACAGACGGCTTTACGTGCTCTCCGAGGCACGGGGGTGAAACACCGCCAACTTCCTAACTCCGGGCTGTTACTGAGACTTACTATACAGGAAGACTCAATAACTAAACTTGGCCCGACCCGGGACTCGAACCCAGGACCTCCGGGTGTGCAGCCGTACACGCTAGCCACTACACCACCGAGGCAATAATCCATACTAATATTATAAATAGGTAAAGTTTGTGAGTTTGTGACGTTGTAAAGGGTAGTCTCTGGATCTACTGAACCGATTTAGATGGAGTTTGGTAAGAAGATAACTTGAGATCCTGGGAAGGACATAGGATAGTTTTTATCCCGGAAATCATTCCTTAAGGGGGTAAAAATGGGGATGAAATTTGTATGGGGAATCAACCTAAAGACGAACCCAAGTGAAGCGAGGATGAGTCGCTAGTAATTATAAAATAAATAAATAAATATGTTGGGACATTAACACACAACACCCTATAATTTTATGGTAAGCTACGAGGGTTGTGTTATGGATACAAGATTGTTGATACACTACACATATGTAACTTCTTCTGGTAATTAGGTGTTTTCTATGAAATGTGTATGTTTTGGTTACCAAATTCAAATGTACATATTACGTATGATTAATACATATCCTATATTAATTGTGTAATGTTATTTGCAAATAATTTTTAAACAATTAATTTTAATTAATTAATTATTATTATAAACCATTTTTGTTTTAACCTATTGTTATTGTTACGAGTACGTTAAGATATCTGAGTTAACTTACTACGAAATAGCGACTTACCCTCGCATTGGTCGGATGCTTTCCTAGTCTAAAATAAAAATATCATTACTCCTTATAACATGAGCTTTCTGCCAATGAAAGTCACGTCAAGTGGGTTTAGCTATTTCGGAGATGAGCCGATACAAACATACAGACAGATAGATAAAAGTTTTGAATATTTTATTGTGTTGTTCTTATAACAACCGTATATACTTTTATATGCATATACTAAGAAGCTGTTATTTTGACATCACAGACAGACACTACAGATTTATTTATTTGTAATATTTCACTCTATTTTTATTTTTTTCTTTCTGATTCAATGTCCCTTTCTCTTTTCCCAGGTATATACGGATGCCAGGCAAGGAACTCCTTGGGAACATCTGATTCAGTAAAAATAGAAATAGATGTCAAATGTAAGTACTCCTAGATAAAATTACTGTGACATTGTGTTACTACGCATTATAATCACTCATATATTGCTACAAATACATATAATTAATGTATGTTGACACAACATAGATAAGAGCAAATGATTGATGGCTGATGAGTTTTCTCGTTGAGTATTTTATTTTTTAACTGACTTCCAAAAACGAGGAGGTCCTCAATTCTCCGAAATCTTTTTTTTATATATGTTCACCGAATAATGGAAGATGCCTGAACCGATTTGGGTCTTTTTTTTGTTTCAAAGGGTATAGTTATAATATTTAAGGATACGAATATGTGATATGTAAATATGTATTTTACGTATCGAAAAAGATTTGCTTTGCATCAGCTGGCACCGACTTCAAAAATATCTGATTTGGTATCTATTCTAAATGAAAAGTAACTTAAGCCTAGAAGTCGGTTTTTATTTTATTTTTTAAGGTTTTATTATATGTTGTATTTAATCATACTTTTAGGTAAACTTTGGTACATTTTTACATTTGGGAGTCTAACTAGTGAGCTTTTCGTTTTATAGTACATTTTGAAATTCTTTTAGATAGGTATAATTTTCTTGATGATATAAGAAGTATATGATTTATTTTTATATACTTACTTCCATACTTAGCAATATTAAACGTTTCTTTAAATAGTTTATGTATTTAATATCTATATGATTTTTTATCAATTATTATACACTTGCAGTCCCTCCGAGAGTTACGTGGGTGGGTCCAGACACGGTGGTAGAATCGAATCTGTTCTCGGAAGTGACGTTAGAATGTAAGGCGGAAGGCAATCCGACGCCGTCATACCAGTGGTATCATAAGTAAGTTTTGCGTTTAATTTATCAAAGTACTTATGCATCTTCAGTGAATTCGTCACAAACGAATTATACTGATTAGTGAAAAAATAGTTAAGACTAAAAAGTGCTTATATTAGATTTATTTAAAATAGCTAGTCTACTTATATATAAATATGAAGTTTGTATTTTTGTTTACTCTAATCCATTATGTTGGTATTACCAGTCTTATATGAAAATTATTTTTCGCTTAAAGTCGTTTTTTTGACTAACACTTTATGATATTTGATATAATTACGATCCTTAGAAACAGAGCACCTTTACATACATTATTATTAATTATAAAATAAATTACGTAGTTCTGTTCTGTAACAAGTCTATGAGAGATTTATATTTTTACTAGCTGACCCGACAGACGTTGTCCTGTCTACACGTCTTTAATTTGAAAATTTCAAACTTTTTTTAATAAGCTAAAACATTCTGGACCATTTTGATGAAAATTATTATTCAAATTGTGAATCTAAACCATTCTCAGATCCCCTTGAACACACACAAAAAATTTCATCAAAATCGGTCCAGTCGTTTGAGAGAAGTTCAGTGACATACACACTCACAGAAGAATTATATATATAAAGATTGACAAAAATAAAAAAAATAATATTCAGTAAATTTAATACCTACAAAATAATACTTTAGTGCTATAAATCGTCAATTTAAAATTATTTATTCCAGTCCAAACCTATCAGCGATGAGTGGACACTTAGAGGACGGATACCCGATATCCTCTACGCCGCAACTGTTGCTGCACAACGTGTCGTACGCGCAGCACGGCCGCTACACTTGTATCGCCACCAACCATATCGGTCTCGAAGAGAGGTAATATTATAATTTATTTACTAAAATAATTTATTTTCGCGGCTCTGCTTACGTAGTTTAATACTGCATAATATCTTTTATATATTTTAGAATTTATTACAATTGAAAATTTAAAACTTAACAATGCATCAAAAAATTGTACCTAAGTATATTAAATTTAAAGTTAAGTAATTAATTCTTAGCCAGATAGTGATATGATGCTACTTTTTATTCCTTAACTCTATTCTAAAAAATACTTTACATCATAAGAAACATATAACAAATAGCGAACGTTTTATCTACCATACGTACCGAAGATACATATATCTACGACGCCCATGACAAGATTCCCTAGAGTTATAGTGCGTAGTACTGGTCAGTGGTCCTTCTAGACAATTGATATTCACTCTAAACATAACTACTTGTATGAATGTAGGCAGTATGCGTAAATACGTTTCCCAATGAGAATAAAGAAGATCAAAGTCACACACAGACACATACGCACACATTTTAACATTTATAACAGTAGTCCAATTCTCGTACATTACTATCCCCCAGGTCGCACCAGTCCGAGCCCATCACGCTGTCGATCCTGGGCCCGCCGGTGGGCGCGGAGGCGGGCGCGGAGGCGGGCGCGGCGCACGCGTGGCGCGGCGGCGAGGCGCGCGTGCAGGCCGCCGTGTGCGCCGACCCGCCGCCGCGCCGCGCCGTCTGGCTGTGGGGCAGCGTGCGCGTCGACGTGCCCATGCAGATTGGTATTGTGCTTTTCTATACTAATATTATAAAGAGGTAAAGTTTGTGAGTTTGTGACGTTGTAAGGGGGTAATCTCTGGATCTACTGAATCGATTTAGGTGATATTTGGTAAAAACATAGTTTGAGACTCTGGAAAAGACATAGGGTACTTTTTATTACGGAAATCAACCCTTAAAGGGGTGAAAATGGGGATGAAAGTTTGTATTACGAAGCAAGCTATGGACGAACCTGAGCGAAGCGAGGATGAGTCGCTAGTATTTAATAATTAACTTAACAGTAATATATATGTATATTCTAATCCAGATCATGTTCTTTCGCAAATATTAGTACTAGTAGTACTATTAGTACTACTTATACTTTAATAACATTCATGATATAAATGAAAAAAAAATACAAAAATCTATTCTTTTACGATATGTGTGCGTTAAAGTGTTTTTTTTTATTATTTAAGTTTGTTTTCTTCCTACAAACGCGCATATCTCAGTAGTGTTTTTAACGCGAAAGTTGTAAGTAATGTAGTGGGTATGTTTATATTTCTTCTTCACTGTTCACCAATTATCAACAACGATTTCCATACTTTATCTCTTCCCCAGGTCGGTACAAGACATTAGAGCCGTCGCACACAAACGGCTGCTACCGCTACACGCTGCTGATAAGCGCGACGGGCGCCGCCGACGCGCGCGTGTATGTGCTGCACGTGGAGAACGAGCGCGGGTTCTCCTCGCACTCCGTCTCGCTCACTGTGCACGGTGAGTGTTTGTGTTACTTGGTGAAGGGATACGTTTCTATATACATTATCTTGCATAAATAAGCAATTCTTGTATGTATATACATACATATATAAATTTATTTCGTGTATCTCGAAAACGGATTTAGATCTGTACCTACTTAGATAAGGTTTTGCTTTTTAAGTGTAAACCTAATTTTTATCTTTTTCGAAAATCATCAAGCTCGGTCGCTGAGGTACTATACATAACACGTATATATGTTTTATATAATTTTACAGGGTTTTACTAGATAAGAGTAACTTTTAAGAGTATGGGGCAGACTGTAGCGATATCTATTTATTTTTGGTTATCGCTAGTATTTAAGTGCGTGTTGAGGATCCAACACTGTCACAGCTTTAAATCTGTTTGTTATTTAACCTTGGCAAACTAAAAGCCACTACAAAAATTTAGACGTTGCGAAAGAATGCGACATTAAGCTTGTTTGATAATACTAGTACGACATAAAGCTCACTGCGCTAGAAATGTCGTTTTATGTTTACATATAATTATTCTTTTGTCATAAGTTCGATTATTATTCAACTTCCTCTATACCTTATTGCCATGGAACACTCGTTCTAAAGGTAACAATCCCTGAAACTACCTATCACACTTGAAAACTTGCATTTTGTAACATATTTATTTAGGGAGTTTTATAGGTTACATAAGATCACGTCATGACTCTTAAAACCAGCCATACATGAATAAACTACGCGAGTGTTGCTGCGTGCCAAAGTCAGTCAATATAAATATAATAATGCTTTAATATATTATCTAATATAGTTAAAAAAAACTTATTAAATCACGCGTTTATATAATCACCGTATATAGAATATTATGTTCTCTAAATAGAAGACATATTAAAACTAACTTTATTTCCTTATATTATTTAAAATGTTATAATATAACCATTATTTTAGTTATTTTAGCGAATACCTACTAACTCCAAGCAATTCTCTCCTCAAATCCATATTATTTCTGATTGTAATTTATTCCATCCAATAGCTTTATATAATAAATTTCAGCCTATATTTTAAGTTAATCCTAACCCCTATTTGACCTAACACTTTCTTCACGCAGATAATTTCTCCCTAACAGAGACAGCGCACGTCGCGCCTTTGATAGCCGCCGCGCTGCTCGGCGCCGCGCTGCTCGTGCTCGCGCTCTGCCTCGCCGTGCGCTGCAGGCGGCGGAGAGGTGAGATGTGGAGAGAGTAGGAGAGATAGAGATGGGACGAGATAGAGATAGGAGGAGATAGAGATGGGAGGAGACAGATATTAATTTTTGGGGACTTATGATTTTGTTAATAATATAATATTACTCTTAGAACATTGGTTATAGGTTTAGTTGTTTATAATAAAGTACGTTTTAACTTATTTGTATTTAATTATATTTTAGATTTGTAAGGTATAAAAGATATTTATATTACGTATACATATTTATAAATAAGTATTTTATATTATTTTATTAATTTGTCTGTTTTTTTTTTCAGAAAGCGTCGAGTACAAGACTGATGATTTAGATAGGTAAGCTATAATTGTTATGAAACATTATTTTGTATTTTTAATTTATCAGACTAAAATTGGTATTTTTCAATTATATGCTAATTAATCTACGTCTAAATTATACCTTTATAATTTAATAATAATTATTTTATCACTAATTTCCTAACAGTGAGAAGACAGTACTACCAGCCGACGCAGTATACTCCCCGCACGACCATCCTCGCACACGTACTGACAGGGGGCCTGCACCCCCCATGGGGAGCGTCGGGGGTCCGGGGGGTGTTGGAGGTCCTGGGGGTCCGGGGGGCCCGGCGGGTCCGGGGGTCCAGGCGCGCTACTCGCCTGCAGCGCTGCAAGTACGCCGCGCCGCCGTCGTGCTACAACCCCCCACCACCGTGTGATGCACAGGTGTGATGCACTATTAACTGGTAGCGGATAGTTTGGTGTTTGTGATATTATGATGCTAATACAATATGACAGAAATGTGATTAAAACATGATACTTTCATAGATTTACGCGATTATTTGACATTTTGAATAAAAGTATCTTTTCGGTGTTTTTGCGGATTTACTTTGATTTTTGAATGCTTTACAGTAATCATGAAGGGAGAGTGTCTGCCGTATCTCCCGTGACCGAAAAGATAGTTTTATTTAAAACATGATAGCCTAAAGTGCTTAACCTTTTTAAGTTACCTTATAAGATAAGGAGCGCCACTACTACATTAACTATTGTATGCTTAAAAAAAGAAAAAGTAACGGTTTTTTTTTCAAGGCAAATCAAACCTTAACAGTTATAGTAGAGATATCAAAGTTCAATGAAAATAAATCTAGTAACATTAATTAAATAAATGTATGTAGGTTTAATTAATATTTTGTAACAGCATCATAAGTAAATAGAATCAGTTGACAGGTTTTAGTTTAATATAAATACAATACATACGTGTGATTTAGTCTCTTTTATGTGATACATAATATTATATGGTTTATTTATTATTACTAACTTCACAGATCCAATTTAACTTAAAAATTATGATCCTTAATTTAGTTACTATCAATTAATTACACACGTTTCATAGCTTATTTATTTATTTATTCTATAACAACATATGTATATAAATCTCAGACTAAGGAATAATATAGACAGAGTGTCATAGAACTAAACATGAAGCCAAACAATAATTTTATAAAATAGTTTACAAATGACGCAATTGTATACTTACTTATTAATAAACTAGCGACTCACCCTCGCTTCGCTCGGGTTCGTCCCTTGGTTGATTCCCCATACAAACTTTCTTCCCTATTTTCACCCCTTTAAGGGATGATTTCTGGGATAAAAAGTATCCTCTGTCCTTCCTAAGGTCTCAAACTATCTTCTTATCAAATTTCATCTAAATCGGTTCAGTAGATCCAGAGATTACCCCCTACAATGTCACAAACTCACAAATTCACAAACTTTACCTCTTTATAATATTAGTATAGATAAATGTTAATACTATCTAAATCTAAGAAGATATACGCGAATATTTGACATTTTAAATAAAACTATCTTTACACGAACGTAAAAATGTCGGGAACCAAAAATCAAAATAAATCCGCGAAATAATCCGAAAAGATAGTTTTATTTAAATAAATTTTAATAAATAAAAATCGCTAACAGATTTTATAATAACAAATTATGCTATCTCTCTCTTAAGGGGAAAAGAACTAATGCTAAAAGTATATAGTATCATTTTTATTTTATTTACAAAAAGTGTACATCAAATACATAAAATATCCCTTATTCTTTAAAGAAAGTAAACGATTTGTATGACAAAATCAAGAATAGTAGCATAAAAGCTGATAACGCTACTATTTTTTTTTGACTTTGACATTTATTTTGGCGGACTCCGTCTACGTAATTCTTTAGTCTGCGATATAAAAATAAACATAAAATATACAATATACATAAACAATTAATTTTCCACAAACAAGTAATACATAATTAAAGAGTTAGCTTTCATACATAATATAAAAGCCACATAGAGACTATTACATTCACGCGAGTTAAAGCTTAGCACTAACATTATAACCACAGTTTGCCTTTCATTTTTGAATAACCATTGTTGCGGGGCAATATCGTTATCCGATGCTTTAGTTTATCCACCTGTCAGAATAATTCACCGCAAAACGTTTAATTATACAGAGTGCAGCCGGACATGTAAATCAACAAGCTTTTTAAGCGATTAACATATAAATGATGTACGAAACACGTTCACGTTTTATGCATGTGTTAATATCCAATAGTATGTACCTAATGAACTCCCCTTAGGATAATAATTTTAAATGCGACCATCCCCTCAAATTAACTATCGATTTTTAACAATGAAGGTTATGTCAAAATAGTATGGATTACGTCAACTTAAATTTAATTATTTTGCTCTTTATGCATTTTTATATTATATTATTTAAGCTCAATTTTGAATTTACCTAAAACGAAACCCTTCAAGAGAAATAAAAATATTATTTAGATTTTTAATTATGAAATTCTTACTATATATAGGTATTTTTTCATTTTAATTACATAGAAATATTTTTTTAGGCAGCGTGGTCGTCAATGGAGAGAGAAGCCAAAGAAAACGTTTATGCGGTGTTAGACCCGCATATACAATACGAGTTAACTATAAATAAGCACGGGGAACCGCCTAAATACTTATCGCTATCTAAGCCTCTAACTCACCAAAGAACGCACGCTTTTGACCCGCAAACATTTAAATTTAATGAAATTAATAACAATTTCTATAATGAATATGGAATACCCAAATATCGATCAGATCAACTAAGAAAATCTGATAGAAGTAACAGAAGGTACAATGAACAGAGTTACTGTAAGAGCAACCACGACGTCAAATACTCAATAGATCCACATTTTGGAAAGGCTAGAGATTCTAACAACATGGCTGACGCACAAAATAGAAATCGTAGTAGTTTTTATAATAAGAATCGGATGCACGGGAGAAGTTCAGGTCGGAAGCAAAACTTTACAACAACTGAGAATAAAGGCCCTTTTACTAAGGTAGATTCTAAAAGAGCCTCTTGTAAAAGTGTAAAAGTGAACGATATTGATGTACATAGAGCACAAGGAAATGAAAAAGAGCGTTCATTTGATGATATGAAAGTCGATAATAAGCTGCAAGAAGTTAAAAACGATGATACAATGCCACGACCAGGGAAAGTGAAAGAAATCGCGTCTAAATTCAATAAAAACAGTGCTGACTTAAGACAAACAGTAAATACAAAAGTGAATAGACCCAAACCAATACAAAGTTTCGATCAGGCTTATATTAATCATATATTTCCTGACGCTGTCGAAATTTAAACAAAAGACATTTTAAATGAAAATTTAACGTCTCAACTTAATGTATAAAGACATTGATAGAATATATTAAGAGTGAGTGAAGTTAATGAGCGGATACCAAAATTTTAAATGTTTATTCTGATGTAGAAATTTAGCAATAATATGAATGTGAGAAACAATAAATAGATCTCTTAGTGTTACGTGCTATTGGTAATTTCAATATAAAAGACTTTATAGTTATTCTACTTTAGGATATTTATTGAAAACTGCCTCTTTATCACGTTACGCAACAATTTAATATGATATACCTAAATCATGGCCATATTGTTTTATCGTAGTTTATAGTGTAAGAGCAAATTCATGACATTTAAACACAACGCTTTTATCAATGTAATCTATTATTACTTATATATTTTTTAATTCATCTTATGTACTTAAAATCGCATTTATTTATTGATATATTTCTTTTTCAATAGTTTTATTATTCGTTGTTCAGTCTAATGTATAGTCTCTTTTGTAATGTTTTGTATTGTTGAATTTTAACAGTATTAAATTTATAATTTACAATAGTATTTTCTTTGGGGATAAATTTCCAAAAATATCTTCTAAGTGCCTACTTACGTCATTTAAGGAACATTTGTGCAAAATTTCATGCTTCTAGACCCAGCGATTTCAGCTGTGCGTTGATTGATCAGTCAGTGAATCAATCAGTCAGTCAGTTTATTACTTTATATAGGTATATAAATACAGGGAAAAATAGTATTTAGTATGTTAGTATATTTGTAATGGATAAACAAAAAAATCGCCGAACCAATGTAGAGGAAATCTGACATCATCCCTCAAGGGGGTGAAATGGGGGATGAAAGTTTGTTTGAGGAATCAATTATTTCTCAAGTAAGGGATATAAAACTCATAATACGTGTGTATATACAATATACATATACTAATATATAGTCTATCTATTCCGTACTAACCGCCAAAACCTATCTAGGGACGAACCCAAGCGCAGCGAGGGTGAGTCGCTAGTAGTAATATATTAATGAAGAATAATTGAATAATGTAATAATAACGTCCGGACATAAAAGCAATGGAAAAGAATAAAAACTACAAGAATAGTTAATTCCTTGCAAACATGCGAACGACAAGCTACAGAAAAATGATAGCGAAAATATTCGTGTTATTTTACTCTTTTCGGATTATAGCTTCTGTTAATCAATATAAAAATTTAACTATGACAAACTTATTGTGGAGAAAAGAATCTGATTGTGTTAATGGTTGTTTCAGTAAGTGTTGCCCTTTAGGCATGGGATATTATAAAAGAAAAGGTTGTATTACTTTGGAAAGTGACGACATAGATTTTGTTTTAAATTACACACAACCAATTCATTTATTTAATAATGTTATTTATAAAGCTAGTATCATGGATATTTTCAAGATTTTATATGGTTTGGCTTGTGAGAAGAAGTATATACTGAATAATCCTTTTTTTCTACAAAAGGTAAGTGACTGCCTTATTTTTATCGACATTCATTTAGCGGTGTTACTTGTACAAAACTAACATATTATATACATATGTATATCGTATATATATCGTTACGCCACAGTAAAATAACATTTTATGACCATCAGAGCCGATCTGATGAAACCAAAAGTTGTAGGCGTTATTTTCTTTTATGTCATTTTTCATCTTTACATATGGTATTAGTTATGAATATGTTTTCTTCTTTCTTTGCGTCATTTCCTTCTCCCCTTTCCTTCAATGTCAAGATGGAGACCTAGGTACCTACTTAATATTACTATTCTTAATTAGATCTGTCCAATATCTATACGATATTACATTAAACAATTTGCATCGTGTTAAATCAAATCCTTATTAATTATCACTCCGGTGTAGCATTCAGTCAAAGACATTCGAGTTTCACACACAAAACAGTCTTTTTAAAATAAAATTAAAAAAAACTGTTTGTCTTAATTCTGCTCAATATTTAAATTTGAAATTTAGGGTAAGATTAAGTACGTACAAAAAATCTTCGAAAAACAAATCTTTTTGACGATTTTCATCCAGTGTATGAAATAATGTACAGTAGGTATATGCGGTAACAACCATTTTGATTAAAGCACAGTTTTAAAAATGGTGGCTTGTGGTTTAGCAATTTATAAATTCCGCGTCCGAATAATCCTGAATCCATCCGCTTAAGGTACTACAATAACACGCCAATTTTCACTTTGGACATTAATGAAATAGGAAATAAAGTCATTTTTTTTAGATATTTTTTTTAATAACGAAATCCTAAACAGGTCAATTTTCAACCTTTTTTACAATAATTAGAATTAATCACATTAATTTAAAGTAGAGAACATTAATCTATAAGTAACGTTTTAATTTAATCAATTTGCACGAAGTAGTGAATTTTGCGTTTCATTAAATTCGGGGCTAAATTTCCCAAAGGAAATTATTTTGTCTAATTCTAAAAAGCTCAATGTTTTAACCTTTTTTATTTTTCGGAATACCCGCTAAAATACTGCAAACACTAATAAAAAGAGATCAATTTGGTAATTAAATTAGCCTTTACTGTGTTTGTTGGTTTGTTTCTCTATGCCTTAACGAATCGACATTATTTTGTATAGAGATATATATATATATGTGTGTGTGTGTACCCGGAGTTACCCGGAGACTTCTCCGGATAGAGTATTTGTTAGGTGTTTTTGATTTATGGTCACTTTTAAAAAGTAAGTGATCGAACTTTCAAATATATCTATACTATAATAAAACAGTAGAGGTCGAATGTCTGTACATAGAAAAAAAATGCTACAAACCGAGTCAGTTATCTTCTTAGATCCCGTAAGAAGAAAAATAGAACAAATCCAGATTTATTCAATTTTTTTGTTTCTCTGTCTGTTTGTACGGGCTAATCTCCTAAACTATTGGACCGATTTAAATGAAATTTTGCATGGTCGTACCTTATATCCTCGGTCAACATGTAAAATACTCTTTATCCCGGAAAAATGAACGATTTCCGTGGGAAAGATCTGTTTTTGTTTGTTTGTAACGTATGATGTACACAATATAGACCCCAAAACAATAGTTATTAAAAAAATTGTCTATTTGTCTGCTTGCTTGTATGTCTATTTGTATGTTTGTACGGGCTAATCTCCGAAACTGTTGGACCGATTTAAATGAAATTTCGCATGGTGATACCTTATATCCCCGGTCAACGTTTCATCCCAGAAAATTAAAGAGTTCCCGTGGGATAGTTAAAAAACTATAGTATCTTATACAGCTTAGTACACAACAACTTATGCACCTATTTTAGTAAAATTTAACATTCTGATACCTTATGTTGCCGGTAAAAACAACAGGTTACTTTTCATCCCAGAAAAATGAACGGTTCCCGTGGGCACTAATAGATCTCTATTAGTATTTTTCTAGAGGCCAACCCGAGCGAAGCGAGGGTGAGCCGCTAGTTAATAAATAAAATATTTATACGTAATCTACATTATTATAATGATAAAAATCTAACTGAATCGAATCTGTACATTAAATATCATTATTATCAATACAGAAGCCGAATCTATAGTTTTAAGATTTTTATCTGTCTGTCTATCTGTCTGTCCTTCTGTCTGGGAACGCATCACAAGAAATCCACAAGACAGATTTTGATTAGTATGATGATATCTGGTTATCCGAGTCAACATATAGGATACTTTTTACTACGAGAAAATATGTCATTTCTGAGAAATCTATAATAACCGTTAAAACGTACCTAGGGACGAACCTGAGCGGAGCGAGGTGAGTCGCTAGTCTACATTATAATTGAATTAAAGGTAAATTTATTTTTATACAAATTGATTTATGTAAATGTGTTATACCGTAAGATGTATTAATTACTATCTATGAAATTAAATAATAAAAATAATTTAAGAATCTATAAATTTTTTACATTTTATAATTTAACCTTTAAATAAATTAAAACAGACTTCAATTAAGATATTTATTATATTTAAAAAAAAATCATTTTTTATCATATTACGTGACTGAATTGTAAATTAATTAACTCGTTTCAGAATGTATAACTTTTCAGCAAAAAGCTTTAAGGAGAGAGCTTTCCACTTACGTGTAAAGTAGACAAGGGTAAAGATTAGCTCGTGTCTCATGGTAGGTACTCTTGCGATGACACATTATACTTTTGAAAAATAGCCTCATATTGTTCATTTTATTAAACTATTACTATCTATATTTTTCAAAGTCACTATTTCTGTCTGTCTGTTTGCTTATACGTTCAATTCTTTTAAACTATGCAATACATTTTTATGTTAATTTAGAAGTTCATAAAATTTACAGAATGTGTTCTAAAGGTACCTAAATATTATTATTGCAGATATGTCAATTATTATTATTCGTATGTTTCATTCCAGGATATACTTGTTCAAATAAGCCAAGCATGAGATATAAATTATCAAAGACACATATAGTTATTTACCCAATAACAAAATATTAATTTATAAAACTTTGCAACCGGGTCAGGCACACAATACTTGTGCACTAAAATAGGGCCACGGAACATAAAAACACATGGAGATTGCATGAGATAATACACCATAGATAAGGGTGATAAGAATTCATATATGTATTATAGGTGATGACGACAGCGTTCAGTTTACGGAACTAAATAATGAGTAATTGTTTATAATTAGTATATTATGAATATTTGGTTGAAGTATGACGTCATTTTAATGCAATGGCTATAAAATTTTCAAAGTTAATCATCAAAGGAGTACGAGGACGTAATGCAACTTGATTTGTTTGGTAGGTATTAGTTTTATAATATAATCTTTACAATTAAATATGGAATTAAAAAGTCCTTACTAAATAGCACATTGTGCAACATATTCGTAATCGATATATAAAATATTTTTTGCATAAAACTGGCACAACAGGTTACATAAAGAGTAAAGATATTAAATATTATTGATCTTGTTGCCTAAAATGCATGTAAAAGGCTTCTGTAACTGACCAA